CCTCTCTCACGGCAAATTCTCCATGTGACCGGGACATGCGATATCTTTGTTCCTTGTGACAGACAACCATTCATGACCGTTAACGACCATGACTGATGGCTTCCGGGCCATTAAGGCAGCTTAAGGAACTGCCAGCACACCCACTGTTGTGCAACATTGGCTGGTTTCATCATGGAAAATAAGTTATTGAGTAACATGACGGTAAGCAGTTTAGAAAAACATGCCCTGATTGATTCGACCAAAATGGGAAAGACCAGGGGTCATTTCCTGCAGGAGCGCACAGGAGCGGAGCTCCGGCAGTAAGGAGCCCAGGGGGTGGGCACATGCAACAAGCCCCACCCCCTGCTCCCAGCAGCCCTCAGTCAGAGCAAGAAGCAGCCAGGTAAGTTACAGAACACACACCCCGGCCCCCCGGTCCAAAACAGTCCAGTGGCACCTTTATTCAGGTACAAGCTCTCCTTCCTCTGCGAGGACAGATCTGCATGTTGCCCCCCCCCCCCCAATAGCTAGCAATCCAAAACAGTCCAGTGGCACCTTTAAGACCAAGTTTTATTCAGGTACAAGCTCTCCCTCCTCTGCCAGGACAGATCTGCATGTCTCCCCCCCCCCCAATAGCTAGCAATCCAAAACAGTCCAGTGGAGCCTGAGCGGTGGGTGTTCCCTTCTGACACACTTCTGGTGATTTCAGGGGGTGTGGCACATGCAAATAAGTTATGCTAATGAGCTATGCTAATGAGCTCCTGCACCTCTTTTTCTATGAAATGACCCCTGGGAAAGACAGTAATGCCAGGAAAAGTTGAAGGCGGCAGGAAAAGAGGGAAATCCAACGTGAGATGGATCGACTCGATAAAGGAAGCCGCGGCCTCCAGTTTGCATGACCGAGCAAGGCTGTTAACCATATGGAGGTCTTTAAACCAAAGAGTTACCATAAGTCAAAAGGAATTTAGCAGCATATAACACACACAAGAAATGGGGAGGGCTCCTCCTTGAAGCTCTTGGCGGTAAAGGAAGCTACTTGTGATGAGTGAAATGTATCTGTGGGATCCTCTCCTTTGTTATCCAGGCCCATAGCCAGGACTTTGTGGCTTGTGGGGGAAATTTCTTTCTGGTGAGGCTGAAGCTCCCAGTGCAGAAAGGAAAGCCGTTTAGCCAATCGAAAGCTGTGACCAGGATAGATCTCTAAATTGCAAGCTGTCTGCCACTTTAGAGGACAGTTCTCAGCTGCTGCAAGTTAACCACTTCCGCCAGCCTAAGCAACCATTTGGAGAACAAGGCGGCAGGTGGGGGTGATGACTTCTATAGTCAAGAAAGCTAACCCTTGGGCAGAAAACCTCTCTTAAAGGAGGCCCATTTCTTGACACAGAGTTAGAAGGGATCCTAGAGGTCACCTACTCTGACCCCCATGCTCAGTGCGAGAATTAGTCGACTACAGAAACCCACTCTGCTTAAAGGAGTGCACACCTTTTTTAAAAAAAATGTTTAGAGACAGAAAACGGGAGGGCACCCCTCCACATTCCAGACCTATGACAGGGCTACCTGACATCGAGGAGACTTCCCATTGATGCTCAGTTGATCAGAGAGTAGAAACTGGGGCAAACGGGTCAGCACAAATAAGGCCTCGGCCACTTCCCTGAAGTTCTGATCACAGAGGTCCTGACGATTCTGAGAACTGCCCGGAAGTGACAAAGGTAGCTCTAGCAATCACCGGGGGAATCTATGGTGATCTTACTGTAGTCTTTCCCCAACCCCCTTGTCCCAGATTTTGCAAAGCTTCCCGCTTCCTGCTACAATATGTTTGCCTAAGTCAAGGCCGGAGGGCACCTGCCTGTGCTCTGAAGCAATCTCCCAGAGCCTTTAATAGCTATGTAGCAACTTCGGTATACTCAGCGCCGGTAAAAACTTATTCGAGGCAGTGGCTGAAATTCGAGATGCTTTCATTATTTATGGCATGATGAACTTCGCTCGGAGCCTGTCGCCCCGACAAGCTGCAATTTTGTCTCCCCGTGAAATGCCTTCTTGCCGTCTCCTGCCAGGAGCCAGTTTGGTGTAGTGGTAAGTGTGCGGACTCTAATTTGGGAGAGCCGGGTTTGATTCCCTACCCCTCTACTTGCACCTGGCTGGATGACCTTGGGTAAGTTGTAGTTCTGTCAGAGCTGTTCTCTCAAGGACAGTCCTCAAGAGAGCTCTCTCAGCCCCGCCTACTTCACAGGGGAAGGGGAAGGAGATTGTAAGCCGCTCTGAGACTCCTTTGGGTAGTGAAGGGCAGGGTATAAATCTAAACTCCTCCTCCTCCTCCTCCAGTTTGGTGTAGTGGTTAAGTGCGCGGACTCTAATCTGGGAGAACCGGGTTTGATTCCCCACTCCTCCACTTGCACCTGCTGATGTGACCTTGGGTCAGTCACAAGCTCTGGCACAGCTGTCCTTGAAAAAGAGCAGTTTGTGTCAGAGTTCTCTCAGCCCCACCTGCCTCACAGGGTGTCTGTTGTGGGGAGGGGAAGGGAAAGGAGTTTGTAAGCCGCTCTGAGACTCCAAGTGAAGGGTGGGGTATAAATCCAACCTCTTCTTCTTCTTCTTCTTCTTCTTCTTCTTCTTCTTCTTCTTCTTCTTCTTCTTCTTCTTCTTCTTCTCCTCCTCCTCCTCCTCGTCCTCCTTCTTCTCAACCCCTGAATGCCTTTGGCTGAGCTGATCTGGTGTCACCGCAGGGCTTGGCAGGAGAGCATAGAATCATAGAGTTGGATGGGACCACCGGGGTCATCTAGTCCAGCCCCTTGCACAGTGTAGAAAATTCACAAATACCTGCCCCCCCCACACCTCCAGTGACTGCTATTCCATGCCCAGAAGATGGCAAAAAGCCTCCAGGATCTCCAGCCAAACTGGCCTGGAGAAAAATGGCTTCAACCACAGATGTTTATGGTCTCTACACAAATAAGCCCAATCCCGTCAGATCTCTGAAACTAAGCAGGGGTGGCACTAGTCACTACTTGGATGGACAACTGCCAAGGAAGTCCAGGGTCGCTATGCAGCGGAAGCCGATAGGGACGCCAGCCTCCCGGTTGGATCTGGGGATCCCCTAAAATCACAGCTCATCTCCAGACTACAGAGATCAGTTCCCCTGGAGAACATGGCTGCTTTGGAGGGTGGACTCTGTGGCATTGTCCCCCACTGAGTTCGCTATCCTCCCGAGGCTCCATCCCCAAATCTCTCGGAGTTTCCCAACCTGGATTCATAGAATCCTAGAGTTGGAAGGTACCTGCGAGGTCATCTAGTCCAACCCCCTGCACAAGGCAGGGAATCCACAAAGACCTCCCCATACAAACTCCCAGTGATCCCTACTTCATGCCCAGAAAGGGACAAAAAACCTTCAGGATCCCGAGCCAAACTGGCATGGAGAACAATTGCTTTGTAGAAGAAGAAGAAGAGATTGGATTTATACCCCGCCCTTCACTACCCAAAGGTGTCTCAGAGCGGCTTACAAACTCCTTCCCCTCCCGACAACAGACACCCTGTGAGGTAGGTGGGGCTGAGAGAACTCTGACAGAAACTGCTCTTTTTCAAGGACAGCTCATCAGAACTATGGCTTGCCCAAGGTCATCCAGCCAGGTGCAAGTGGAGGAGTGGGGAATCAAACCCAGTTCTCCCAGATTAGAGTCCGCACACTCGACCACTACACCAAACTGACCCCAATGTGCCAATCAGCATTTCCCTGGGCATGCAGGAATTGTCCGCCCTATGCCCCACCCCCTGCTGGTGGCCAAGAGGGACCTGGCAACTCTTGAAGCCGATGGCAAACAACCTCTGAATGTCTCTTGCATCGATAACCCCATGGTCACCACAAGTCAGGTGTGATTTGATGACTGTTAAATACTGGGTACTGGGTTCTAGACGTGTTCCAGTGATCAGCTGTAGTTTATTAAGTGATTTCAGCAAACTCTAAGGACAACTAGCAGTGCTTCAGCCCTGCTTATAGAGCCTGCAAACACCACACCCAACACCCCCCCACTCCCAGTGATAGGCTATTTACATTACACTACTTATCTATTGGGAGCTGCAGTGGCTCAAGTGGTTAAGACGCTGAACTGCAGGCTGTGGAAGGTCAGTAGTTCAGCAGTTCGAGACCCGAGTGTGCCGCATGATAGAGTGAGCTCCCATCTCTAGTTCCAGCTCCTGCCAACCTAGCCGTTCGAAAGCAAGAAATTGCAAGTAGATAAATAAGTACCACTTCAGTGGGAAGGGAACAGCGTTCCGTGCGCCTTGGTGTTTAGTCATGCCGGCCACATGACCACGGAAACGTCTTCGGACAGCGCTGGCTCTTCGGCTTTGAAACGGAGATGAGCACCGCAGCCCTAGAGTCGGACTCGACTGGCTTTCGAGCAAGGGAACCTTTACCTTTTACTTATCTATTGGTTAGCTCCAGGATCCTGGCGAGCTATTGTTCTAAAGTAGCAAGCTCTTTGGGGGTCAGGCGGTGATTATTTTTTTCTCCAGGTCAGTTTGGTCAGGGATCCTGGAGGCTTTTTGCCATCTTCCAGACATGGAGCAAGGGTCACTGGGTATGTATATGGGAAGTGGTATTTGTGAATTCCCTGCATTGTGCAGGGGATTGGACTAGATGGCCCCAAAGGTCCGACTCTATGATTCTGTGATCACCTGCTCCTTGACTCTTTACCTGGAGATGTGAGGGATCGAAACTGGGACCTTCTGCATGCCAAGCAGATGCGTTATCACTGAGCACCACAGCCCCTCCCTCTTGTAATCAGCTCAATTAGAGCAGGGGAGAAATACTTAGGGGCAGAAAACTAGCATCTGTCGAAACAAGGACCCTAACTCCCTATTCAGTCCCATGGGGTCATTGTTCTAAATTTCCAAATGAACTCAAATTCAACAATATACAATTCGCTCCTTGGAGAACTCATTCCTGGGGTTCTTTTCTTTAAAGTTTGTGGGACGCGGTGTCTGGATTTTACAGCTCTCGGGCATAACTTCTTTTGTTTCTCACGCAGAACTTCAAGCGCTCCAGATAAGATGTCCTACCAGTGGAAGCAACCCTGTATGCCTCCTCCCATCGGTGTGAAGGGTTGCACAAAGTGTGGGAGTGTCTACTGCCCAGGACGAGCTGCCCCTTCCCCTGTGGCCCCTCCTCTGAAGAAGAGTGCAAGCGCATGTTCCTGCCCATGTGCCAATGTATGCACAAGCCCCATCAGTCCAATCTGCATGGCAAACGGCCAGGGCCAATGTTCTCCTGTTTGCCCCCATGGTCCTATCTGTCTGAGTCCAATCTGTGCCTCAAGCGCGAGTCCATGCTCAAATCCATGCCCAGGCCCTGCCAAATCTGTCTGCATGACAAACGGCCAGGCCCAGTGCGCTCCTGCTTGCCCACATGGTTCTATCTGTGTGACGCCACTCCAGACCCAAAATGGGGGCCCATGCGCTAATGCATGCGCAACCCCCAAGCAGGGTCAGTGCTCTCCCATTTACATGGGCCCAGGTGTTTCTCCTAGTGTCACGCCACAATCCCCATGCGACCCCGCTTGCAACTATGCTCGCGGTCCGATCTGCGTCACATCAATCCAGCCCCAACGCTGCAGCGTGTGTGCCAATAAATGCCCAGCCTGTTGTGGTTCTACCTGTGCGGAACCCATCAAGCCGCAGAGCAGTGCTTCATGTGCTGCCACTTGCACCACTCCCAGTGACGCTGTGAAAAAACAGTGTGCGACCGCCTGCAAGGATCCCTGTGACAGCGCCTGTGCCACGCCATGTTCTCCTACATGCGCTGCCCCAGGTGGCACCAAAGGGGGTAGTGTTGGCACCGACTCCTGTGCACCGACTACATGCGCTGTCTCAAATGGCACCAAAGGGGGCAGTGTCTGCACCAACTCCTGTGCACCGACTACATGCGCTGTCTCAAATGGCACCAAAGGGGGCAGTGCCTGCACCAAGTCCTGCGAGGAGGTGAAGTCTGGCGCCACCAAAGGCGCAAAGCCATGTGTCTCATCTGGCCCTGAGAAAGCATGGAAGAAGACCCGCCCTACTATCACCCTGAATCAATGTGTCATAAAGAAATGATAACGGCCCGCATCATTGTGCAGAGCTATGGAACGAGAGAAACGAAGACTCATGGATCCTCCTGTAGTTTATCGCGCACCTCTCATCGATGAATGAGTCCCTCCCGTGTAAAAATAATCAGCATCTTTCCTGGGCCGCCTTCCTCTGTCTTCTTTCCTGTTACTGCCTGGATATGTTTTTTTTTTAAGTCTTCCTTTAGAATATGAGTTCCTGTCTTCCCAGGATATCGAGTCGACCTTGGAGAATGAAAGAGTCTGTATATTGCTTGGTGGTGGAACTTCTACCTTTCCAGGAAGTTCAGCTTTAGATGTACAGAAATAAAACCAAGTAAAATTGCATCGCGTTGCTGCACCTTGAATTCTCCCCCCCCCCCCAGTTGCATCCAGCTCAGGACAAACCTTTTCATATTTACGGCCAGGTTCAACGCTCCCTCTACGCTGTGGAGTCTTGTGAGCCAAAATTCTACTTGGTGAGCTACCGGCATTAAAGTTGTGAGTGAGTGATTTGGCAACTGCCTCAGTTTGCTCTGGAGCCATCCTTCCTGAGCAAAGACAAAAAGGTGTGAGCCGGAGGCTAAAAAACTGTGAACTGGCTCACACTAACTCAGCTTAGAGGGAACATTGGCCAGGTTGGCTTGACAGACGTTCCACTGCCAAGTTCCGTTGCCCACTGCTGCTCTGAAGAAGAAGAAAATTAAAAAGCAGCAATGTTGCCAAGGTCACTATGTCACTTCCTGGTACAACCTGGAAGTAACAACGGTTCGCTCTAGGAGTTCCCGGAAACTTTATGGTAAAACCATAAAGTATCTGGCAGTTCCTAGAACTTCCCATTGTCACTTCCAGGTTGTAGCTGACTTAGCGTGAATCCCCCATGTCCCTGCCTCCAGACCCCCCCCACACACCAGTTTCCAAGCTTGGCCAGGTAACCCGAGGGCCAGGTCTAGCCAATCCAGAGGCTTCATCCTACCTGGCAGATACAATTATGCCCCTATGCCTGAAATGGGGTTCTGAAGCCTGAGCAGGTCCTCAGTCGAGGTCTCAGCTTGTGGCCATGAGATTCTGGGTTCAAGTCCCCCGGCATTTTGAATTCATTCTTTCATTCATTGGTAAATGGAAAGGATTGGGTGGCAGAATCAGAATGGGAGTGTGGATACTTATACCCTGAATCTAGACGTAGGGCATCTGTGGAAGGGTGGTGGCAATTTGCATGCAGACGTCCCCAGGTTCGATTTCTAGCTGGCCCGTAGCAATGGCGGGGCTTCTTGAGGCTCTGCCCCCTTTCTTAAAGGGACAGCCCCACAAGAATTGCTCCTGTAAATGCTTCCCCCCCAATTTTAAAACATTTTTTGAAAGGCCTGCTCTCCTTTAAGCAGAGTGGGGTGCTGTGGGTGACTAATTCCTGCACTGAGCAAGGGGGTTGGAGTAGGTGACCTCTAGGATCCCTTCTAACTCTGTGTCAGCTTTCTTGACTCTAGAAGTCATCACCCCCACCTGCCGGGTGTTGCTTAGGCTGGCAGAAGAGATTAGCTTGCAGCAGCTGAGAACTGTCCTCTAAAGTAGTTGACAGCTTGCGATTCAGAGATCAGTCCTGGTCATTGCTTTCTACTGGCTAAACGGCTTCTCTTTCTGCCCTGAGAACCTCAGCCCCACCAGAAAGAAATCTGCCCCACGGCCCACAAAATCCTGTGCGTACAGGCCTGATCCCTAGCATCCTGACATAAAGGGTCTCCGAGAACGGGTGCCGGGAAACAGCTCTCTCCATTAAGAGAGGCACTGGGAGACCACCAAGGACATTCAGGGTTGCTCTGCAGAGGCAGACTATGTATTGTTTGTCTGTCTCTTGCCTTGAAAATCCTACGGGGTTACGAAAAGCCAGCTATGACTTGATGGCACTTCCCACTACCAATTTTTGTAGGGACCATGGTATTTGTCTACGTGACACACGCACATACGCAATGGCTGGAGGAGGAGAGAGCATGGTCCTGCTGCAGGGGATTGAACCTGGGACCTCCTGCATGCCAGGCAGAGGCTCTTCCACTGAGCCACGGCCCCTCTTTACAGCTCTCCAGGGTCTCAGGCAGAGCTCTTTCCCATCACCTCCTGGCTGGTCCTTTTTAACTGGAGATGCCGGGGATTGAACCTGGGACCTTCCGCATGCCAAGCAGAGGCTCTTCCACTGAGCCACAGCCCCTCTTTACAGCTCTCCAGGGTCTCAGGCAGAGCTCTTTCCCATCACCTCCTGGCTGGTCCTTTTTAACTGGAGATGCCGGGGATTGAACCTGGGACCTTCCGCATGCCAAGCAGAGGCTCTTCCACTGAGCCACAGCCCCTCTTTACAGCTCTCCAGGGTCTCAGGCAGAGCTCTTTCCCATCACCTCCTGGCTGGTCCTTTTTAACTGGAGATGCCGGGGATTGAACCTGGGACCTTCCGCATGCCAAGCAGAGGCTCTTCCACTGAGCCACAGCCCCTCTTTACAGCTCTCCAGGGTCTCAGGCAGAGCTCTTTCCCATCACCTCCTGGCTGGTCCTTTTTAACTGGAGATGCCGGGGATTGAACCTGGGACCTCCTGCATGCCAGGCAGAGGCTCTTCCACTGAGCCACGGCCCCTCTTTACAGCTCTCCAAGGTCTCAGGTGGAGGTCTTTCCCATCACCTCCAGCCTGGTCCTTTTAACTGGAGATGCCAAGGATTGAACCTGGGACCTTCCACATATCAAGTGGATTCTCTTCCACTGAGGCACAGCCCCTCACTGACATGAACACACATGAAGCTGCCTCATACTGACCATCGGTCCATCAAAGTACTCACTGTCTACTCAGAATGGCAGTAGCTCTCCAGGGTCTCAGGCAGAGATCTTTCACATCAACTTCCCTCCGGTGCTTTCAACTGGAGGTTTATGTCTCTATTCATTAGAATTTTTAAGTTGCCATTCCCCTTACAGCACTTAAACGATGTCATCAGGGCTTTTTTTAATTAAAAAAGCCCAGCAGGAACTCATTAGCATAATAGGCCACACCCAACAGCAGGAACTCATTAGCATATTAGGCCACTCCCCATACATTCCCTTGGCTTGCCCGGGCGCCCCGCAGCTGTGGGGAGCCCGGCCAAGCCAGCCCTTGGACAGGCCAGGGAAGGCATTTAAATGCCTCCCCGATCCTTCCAGGGGCCCCCTGGCCCACCCACCTCGGAGTCACCGGGGG